AGAAGTGTCTTGAAATATATAGATATCTAGTCAAATATTATTTACTGTCATCATGGCAAATATAAAAGAATCAGTTATTAGAAATGAGTTATTAACTATTATTATTAGAAATGTGTTAAAAAAATCTACTCTCTGTTAAACAAAATTGGGGGGAAAATAAACAGGGGGGCTAATAATTCTGACTTCAACTGTATATATTACATTGAAAGCATATAAAATGCAGGTAAATCATGAAATGTTTCAAATCAATTTTATGGGAAAAAATATGGGTAAAATAATGCTTGATTATCTTTTGGGGTAAAAGATATATTGTAGAAATAAATGTACAAATAAAATGCCACTCATTCTGATCAGTAATGAATAAAGTTTATAAAAGAGGAAAAAAATCATACAAAATTAATTTTGTTTTAAATGATTCAGTTAATAAAACATAGTGGTTGGAATGATAGAGCCAATTTATAAATATATATTATTAATATCTGCTGCACTTTTGTCTAGTGTTTTAGTGTCACTGAAGGATCCTTGCTTTAAATTTGCCAAATGATTTTATATAACCTATTGCTATACCTAATTGAATTTTAGTAAGTGTCTTATGTAAAAGGCCAGGGTAAAAAGGCATGAGAGTTTTATCTTTAAAAAAATTACAATTCAACACTGAAAACAATTATTCATAAATGATTCATTGGATTATCTAAAATTCTTTAAGTTAAGTGGTTGTAAACAATTTATTTGGGCTGAATTTAGACACAAATTAAGTTGAATATTACTAAATTTTATTTGTTTGTTTAAATTCAACACATAATTTGTTTGCAACATCACTTTTTTAGATGAAAGCTTTTGTCATTATTATTATTATTATTAATACTACTACTACTACTTGAAACTTTGCTTTTCATCTTTGCCCAACATGACATTTATATTATATTCACTGTAATAAAAAAATTGCTGGGTTCCACACATTCAATTTGTGTTGGGACAACATGAAGGACTTAAGTTAACTAATTAGTTTTAGCAATTTTAAGTGGAGTGAACATAAAACAATAAAGTTGTCCCCCAAAAAACTCAATAATTGTGTTGTTTTAGCTCAGTTTCAATAAGTATAGTTTGAACAAGCAGCAAACTTCATTTTTTGAGTGTTACATATATTAAAGTTTTTCTAAAAACTTTATAATCTAATTCTTAAGTGTTCATTGGTAAATCAAAAAAAACATTTTCATATTGTGTAATGTCCCTGAAAGTATATTCATTAGATTTAATAAATATTTTTAAGGTAAATGGTTGCAGAGAATTTATATGCAATGAAAAAAAATATTCGAAGATGATTTCTTGGATTTACTTCTTTTTTTTTTTTTTTAAAGTTAAGTGATTGTAAACAATGTACTCGGGCTGAATTTAAACAAACAAATAAATGTAGTAATGTTAAACTTAATTTGTTTGTTTAAATTTAACAAGTTGTTTGCAATAATTTTGCAGAACATTTTTTTCCCAGTATGGGCTGAATTTAAACAAACAAACAAATAAAGTTGAACATTACTAATTTTAATTTGATTGTTTAAATTCATCCCATATTGATTGTTTGCAACCACTTACCTTAATTTTTTTTTTTTTTAATCTGATTAATCATTTTTTTAATGTACTTTACCTAAATAAATATTTCGGATGCCATTTTTTTCAGCAAGTTTTTGCATCTGAACTCTTCATATTTAAATATTGCAAATATTACGACCATGCCAGGAACACAAAGACTTTTAATTACATAATAAGTTGCCAGTAGATATTGTTGATATTGATTGAGAACATTTTAAAAACAAGCGAAATTATTCTTTAATCATGTCCTATAATCTTTCTGGCGGGTGGGTGAAGTCATGCTGGACAAAAACACTCCCTTTATCCACCATCTCTCTGTCATCCTATATAAACCCACCCCAGCTTCAGGTCTACAAATACCCCAAAACACACATGCCCTTCACAAAGAGAACACAAGACAACACAGGCAAGAGGAGAAAGAGCAAGACTAACAACCTCTCCAAGAACCTTCAGAAGGACAAACAAACATCTCAACAACAAGGTAAATCATTTTACAAGGAAACATGCTTATAAATTTCACAGATAACCACAAAGTTAAGCATAATTTTAAGTTGAGTTTTCTTCTAAAATAGTCCAGTTCTTATATACACTCAAAAAAAAAATTTTTTTTTCTTGTTTGTCCAACAACAAATATACTGAAAGAACACAATTATTTACATTTTTGGGTGAAATTAAGTTTTTTTTTGTTTAATTAACTTAAATTTGTTAACTTAAATGATTTGTGTTGAGATAACATGAATGAATTGTGTGGAACCCTGCATGTTTTACACTGTATTACTGAATTAAAATGTTCATTGCATTTATTAAATATTTTTTAAGATGAGTGGTTGCAAACAATTTATATGGACTGAATTTAAACAAATTAAGTTGAACAATACTAAATACAATTTGTTTAAATGTAGCCCATATAAATGGATAGCAACTACTTACCTTAAAACAACTGAGACAACCCAATAAATCATTTTTACCGTGTACAACATACTGTTATTATATTTTAGTATTCTACATTTTGTCTGAATAATTACTCTGAAAATTTTGATGCACACTCAGAGTGCAAAAAAAAAAACCTCCAAGTTTAAGTTATCTCGAAGTTTAGATTAAAATCCTTTAAACCGGTATCACTTTTCTACCTTCAGATGATGTGCTCCAGGTGTTTTCTGCTTATTCTGGTTATCTACTTCCTGATGGACGAGCTTTGTGCTTTCCTCTTACCAGACAGACTGCGAGTGAAAAGGGTAAATATCAGTGTTTAATATATGGGGTTTTAATATAGCACTGCATTAATTTAGCATATAACTTTGCAGTTATATATATTTAAATATATGCATGTAATTCCCTGCAGAGCAGTCACATGTCAGATCAGGATCTGTCATCACACATTTATGAGCTCTCAGATCTGACTGAACTGTTCCCTGGAAATGAAGGGGAAATGACTCGGGATTGGGATCCCAATCCGGCCAAGTCTCCTGCTTTCTTCTCCCCAATGGAACAAATCAACATGCAGCAAGCAAACAACAACCGGCGTAAAAACAAGGACAACAGGTAAGAATAGTTACAGTTCTTTGCTGTGTATTGAAATGAGAGATTTCAGCAAAACTTGAAATAAATTTTGAAAAAAAAAACGCAGAGCATATTTTGATCTAGTTTAAAAATTTTATGGAATAAATACACAATTACTGCACAAACTGGAAGTAAGTGCACGTAACAACATGCATTTGAAGAATTCAGTGCAAAAGCCTCTGAGTGCTGTCTGATTTTTTATTCTAATATTCAATTTTTTTCCTGTGTAGATTCAGTAATTTGACTTTTATTTTCACTTTTCTTTGTCTTTAAAGTGAAATTACTGAACATAAACATAGCAGGGTGAGAGAAATGCTCATTTAATTGGTCAATTTCAGATGCCCTTAGAGGGTTTGTTAAATCTATTTATTTACAGTATTTATTATAATTTATTTGTTGTATTAAAAAAAATAGTGTCTTTATTTTAGGGTTTTATTTTAAGGTTCCCTGAAATGTCCATAAGATTAATGAGTAATGCATTTGTGTTTATAAAAAAATATTTATATTGAACTCTTCATTTTTTATAGATAGCAGCTCATCTATGTTTTCAAATTTACCTTTAAATCCTACATTTTTACCCCAACAGGAGAAGGATCACGGTTCCTCTGGACCGCATTGGCAGCTCTCACTTATCTACTCGAAGCAGAAAGGTATTTTTCTGACAGAGAAAATCTTGTGTTTATTGGTTGTCCTGTGAAATTATAATTCTTTTTCAAACAATACTGTTTAAGTGCAAGGAGTGAAATGAAGTTCAGTATTTCCTATTCTATTTTTTCTACTAGAGAAGGCCTTTATTCCTCTTAGTATTTCTTGTTGTCCTATTATTTTATATATTACCTTATTGTTTTATATATCATCTTATTGTCTTATATATTTTTGTTTTATTATTTAATATATTATCATTATATTATTTCCTATATATTATCTCATTATTCTATATATATTATTCTTATTTTATACATTATTTTAGATATTGTCTTATTTTATATAATATATTTCTATTTTATATATTATCGTCTTATTTTATATATTATATTATCTTATGGTCTTATTATTTTATATATTACCTTATGGTCTTATTATTTTATATATTATCTTACGATCTTATTATTTTATATATTACCTTACGGTTTTATTATTTTATATATTATATTATCTTATTTCTTAGTATTTTTCCTAGTCTGTTTTGGCTACAGCAATAACTTGCCTAGTTAACTCTTTAAAAAAATTCAATAAAATTCACACATTATGCTGAATTCTAGTATCTGGCAAAATAACTAGTGAAATATTATATAGACAACATGGTTGACAAAAATAAAACATAAAAAAGTCATTAAAACTATGTTAATAAACAGTGTTGAAAAAGAAAAATTCCACTTGTGAAATATTGCAAAAGGAATTACAATTTCACTAATAATTTAATCTTGAACAGCATATTAAAAATCAGATTGCATATTATTAAATATTATTTTGAATATTAAAAATGTACTTTTTTTCTCCTTAGGAGGAGCCTGAAGACTTTAAGGAGTACGACGCAAAGTGATCAAGCTGAAATATTGCATACTGTTAAAAAGGACTGTTTTATGTTGTGTAGCTTTGGTCCCTTTTCACTCGATTTTCTTTTTTTATTCTTAAGTCATTGCATCTCAGGTTTATAAACTGTGACTTATTTATTTGTATTTATGTTTTGCAAATATTCGCTTCTCGGCTCCCTGTAGCGGGGTGCGAACTGACAGACACTACTGGTGTTGCTGCAAAAAATAAATAAAACGTACATGAATCAACTAATCGATTTCTTTCAGCTCATTTTAACTCACAACAGCCAAAATATAAGGAAAATGAGACACTCAAAGCCCAATAAAGAAAAGATTTATTTCTCCAGGTAGTTCAAGAAAACAATATCAGATGCAAAAAAATATACCATTTGCTTTGCTCTTCTCTTTACTTTCACATATGTACACTTCTCAAAATCTGTGATATTTACAGAGTGAAACACGAAACAAGAGAGATCAGGGGATTTCCGTTCCCCCTTGCTTCACAAATAAACCACAAAGATAAAGAAAAATCCAAAACAATAGTCTCCAAACTAATTCAAACGAAAGAGCTTGTAGCGTAAATGAATAAATCACCAGTTCTCAGAGCTTCAAACACGTCTTGAAAAGCAATAATCACCACCATTCCATTCCAGGAGTTTAACCTTCGCTTATTCAATTGAAATCTTCCAAATAAACAGTTATAGCTAAACAAATTTAAATAAAACGCTATGTTGTGCAAGTAATTAACAGTTTTGATAGCTTTTTCGACAAAGTACATGGGTTAACATACTGTACATCACCAGTAGAATTAGAAGAAATTAATGTTTGCTAATGATTGCAACAGAAACGATTCCCTGCTTAGGTCACTCTTTATATTTGATCATCTAATATACGTTAACTGACTCCTCCAGCCCTGGGGGCGATTGACAAATTTGATATAAGAGGAAATGGCATTTAGATTAACACACAACCTCTATTAGTCTATAAAATATTGCATTTATCTCAATGAAAAAAAACGATCATCTAGACAGTTTGCTAAGATGCATTTCCAATAACACAATCTCTCATAGCAGCTCTTTGGCGAAATCAGGACATTGTGTGTACTTTCTAATAAACAGATATTTCCTTTTCTCTTTTGAATAACCAACATAACCGATATAGCATTCATCTTTGCCCTCATTAACCTTTATTAAAGGAAAATAGCGCCACAAATATGCAAGCTAAATATTTAAAACAAATTTGAGCCAAACTGCATTCGCCCTGCTCCTTGTCAATTACCAAAATAAAGGTATAAGAGAATCACTTTACATGTTATTTCTCAGTGAATTCTATCTATAAATGGAGAGCTTTGACTAGGGGTCGACTAGTCTGCAAAACTAAAACAGAAAAGGACAAAAAAATAAAAATAAAGGATTGTTGTTTAAAAAGGAAAAAAAAAAGTGTCCGATGGGAAAACTGGAGAACTGGGAACATTCAGATCTTTGAGGGATTGAAGACCCTCGCCTAAGAGTCTTTTTTATGACTTGAGCGTCGTGAGTCTCTGCATTTGTGGCAATTAAATATGTCGGGCACATTCGACTTTTTGATTTTGGCGCAAGAGAGGTGCACCCAAACGTTGCACTGACTACATTCAATCATGGGCCGTCCTGCAAAAGGTTTACCGCAATAACAGGTGATCAAGTCCCACGAATCGTCCCCTGTAAAGAAAAGAAAAACCAAATCAAATTAAAAATATATCATTCTTTTTAATTTAAAAAGTAATAGGTTAATTTGGGATTTTAAATGATCATATGGGGGTTTAAAATAGTTAATGAAATAAAATAATATTAATAACAAGAAACTAGAAAATCTATTTTTGTATTTCTAAGGGTCTGGAAACATTTACAATACCAAAAAATTATTAATATTACTAAAATACATCATGTAATGGGGTTTGTGAGATATTAAATTATATGCAGACCTGAACAATTACTCAAATGATTTGTTAATTTTAGCTTTTATTCAATTATTAAATTTCTTACACTATAATAAAAAGGTTTCTAAAAACATTAATAAAACGCATTTACATGTAGTGCTTAAATTACATTCATGTTTACATTGAACACTTTTTGCTTACAGTAAAATGATATAAGCATCTTTCTTAATAAAGTAAAAAATTAAATAAACTAATATTAAATTGGACTTTGTAAAGAGAACTCAATCAAGCAAAAGTACATAATTATTTGTCAAGATAATAATAATGATCTAGGGATTTGGAACATTAGTTAAATGTATTTTTAAAGTAATAACTAAATTGTGTTTCATTTAAAAATAAAAGTTTGATTCTAAATAAAATGCTCTTTATTAAAATTATAATTAGGACTGCACAAAATATCACTTGAGCATTAATATTGCAATGTGGGCATCTCCAATTGTCTCATCACATGATCACATTTTATTTATTAAAGATGAAAAGATAAAAATATTGTTAAATATTATTATTTTTAATAAATACCTTTGACTCTTCAGAAAACCATAAAACAGTTTATTTAAATGTAATCTTTGCTCTGTAGTGTGTGTGTGTGTGTGTGTCTATATATATATATATATATATATATATATATATATGGGGAATGATCGATTCCTTGTCATTGTGATCGACCGATTCTGATGCTTCAAGCTTTAAAATGCATTAAGCACATTTTCCCTCCAAGTTGACTTAAGTGGACTTTTCTCTTTACCTAAGAGAATAAATGCATTTATGCTGCAAATAATCCCTTAAACACGTCTTATATAACCATTTAGTGTGTACATGTCAAGTTAAGAATCAGTTTTACAGAAAACAGTAGATAAAACTTATTTAAAAAATGGTAAGAAATAATTTAGAAACATTGGAAATTATGGAAAAATACAGCATGTCTCAATCAGGAAAAAGTTTGGAGGGCATATTTAATGCATAAGAAGGTAAAATACACATCTATAAATCCATTACCACTTTAGTAAAAGAAAATAGGCCTATAAACTACTGCTTGACGCGCATCTTGCTTTACTTGTAAACTCATAAACAAGTATTTGTGATCTGTTTATGAGACCAGCCAGATCGATCGAGTCCTGAGTCATGTAATTATCTGCCTATATATATATATATATATATATATATATATATATATATATATATATATATATATATATATATATATATATATATATATATATTAGGGTTGTAACGGTATGAATTTTTTACGGTATGATAATCGTCTAAAACAATACCACGGTTTGACGGTTTCGCGGTATACGGTATGTTACAAATGTTACAAAATAATAGAACAGTGAAGCAAATTTGACTTTTTCCAAATAATATATTTTCAGTTACTATAAACAACACCACTTACAATGAACAAATAAAAAAATAAGAAAATAATAAATAATGTGTCAAAGTCCAAATAAAGTCCAAATAAACATGGTGCAAATCCTCAGTAAAAAAATAGATATAAATATTTACTATACTATAAATAGTTACATAACGAAACTAGATTCAATATGGAACATCCTTAGGTTTTATGTGCCAGCATGGATATGGTTGTCTGTGGATATGGATTTGGATGTGGTTGTATGCAATGCAGACAAACAGCTGCACCTTCATTTGCGTCTTTTGAAAACAGCAAGAGCAGCAGTTCGTCTTTGCTGTGTCACTGTTTTGTCATGTTTCTGTGCTGCTGTGCATGCAAAAGTACTTAGTATGAGAATTATTTCATGCAAAACTTTTTTTTTTGCGTTTTATTTAGCCGCGCATAAATGTATGCCTATCTCTCATTCTGTGTTGTTCAAAAAGCTCGTTTTTGGTCCACAAACAAAAGCGAAACCTATGCTTATTAGTTGTGATATAGCGAGTTTGAACCAATCTGGGCATGGAGGAGGGACAATGCATCAATGTATCATGTCTGGTTTGTCCGGAAACACAGTGACGAGCATTTCTTTGTCAAATCAGCGTTGTCAAATTTTGATGACGTAATCGCACTGATTCCGGAGCCTCCGAATGTTATGTATATATGCACTCCGAATTTATGTTATGCTTATGTATATATAATTTATGTTATGTATATATACTCCGAATGTTATGATACAGCACTGGAAAGCTGAGATTCTCTTCTTTATGCCAATCTTTGAATTGTATGAATCGGATCAGCGGATCAAAAGTTATTAAACATTTAAGAGCAATACTTATTTTTAGCCGCGGGCGGCTGTCTCGGTCTTTAAGGCTTAAAACCGTTGATATGCAATTGTTCATAGTATGATAATCGTGCACGTTCAAATCATGGTAGACCGTCATACCGGTATATATATATATATATATATATATATATATATATATATATATATATAAGCTATATAATCTTATATATATATGCTTGTAATTTATGCAGACGCACTGCATAGAAAAAGAATTGATCATCAACCTATAATTGCAGATTCACTAAATATTGCAATGCCCGATTTTTTCAATATCATGCAGCCCCAGTTAAAATAAATAAAAATATAACGATTTCTTACATATACATAATCCTTTTAACAATGTAATCCTTTAATTTGAATTTATTCATGTTTATTATTATTTGAGTCTCTAAGCTTTCTATAATCTCCTCAAGCTTTATCCACAAAAAGCCACTCACCTGACTCTACCATGATATCTTCATCCGCTATCCAGGTCTCTCCTTCACTGGAGCTCATGTCTGCCTCTCTGATGGCCTCTTCCTCATCCTCCTCATTCTTCTCCTCCTTCACCTGCACCTGTAGTCTGTGCTCGGAACGCTCCTCTCTGTGACCCAAACCGTTCTCAGAGTCTGACTCGCTGTGGGCCGAGCTCTTAAGCTTCTTATAGGCTTTGGACTGTTTGGAGTTTTTACTGTGCTTGATTCTGGCACGCTTCTCGCCGCCGCTGCTACTGCTGTCACCTGCACCCGAACCCAGAGAAAGGCGCTTCAGCTTCTTGTCCTTTTTGCGCTCGGCTTTGCTGGCTGCCTGGCTCTCGTAAAAAGAGTCTTTCAAGCACATATTGTCTTCTAAAGCGCCATCAGGTGACAGTCGCCTCATGCTCTTGCTGCTCTTATTGGCGCGGGCCTTGTGGACGAAGGTGTGGATGGTGTGCAGGTCCGACGTGCCGTGATTCCAGCTGGGAGACATGTTTGAACTTGCTCCACCTAAAACACTGCCTTCACCTGAAGCACCAGAGCCATTCGGAGAACTGGAGGATGCTGGAGACCATGGCCCTTCCTGTGGACAGAGATAGAGAAGCATGGTTATGATGACAAAAAAAATAATAAAATTTCACATCTACAGTTGGAGGAAAGTGTACAAAGGCACCACAGGTTAAGGCTGATTTATACTTCTGCCTTATGCGTATGCTCCGGCACAGCTTTCGTGTGGTCGCATAGCATTCGCCGTGGCTGACGCTGATGTACACCTCTTGAAAAATGTTGCACGATGGTAGCACAAGCTCTGTGATTGGTCGGCCTGATGGAGCAAGTGTTTACAACTGTCGAGTCCCGTGAAGTAGCTCCAGATGAAAACTTTTGTGTTGTATTTACATTAAGATTAAAGTTGCTGCATGTCCGCCAGTCCCTGCCTCTGAATGAGTGAGTTTGAGCTACTTGTACATTAAGGTAGCGTTCAGAAAAAACAAAACACTCGCAAAGAAACTCTATACAGAGGGACATAAAAACCCACTGCCAGCTAGCATTTCGCAAGTGTTATTGCAGAGAAACAATCTGCATGCAGAAGTATAAATGCACAGCTACACACAAGGCAGGTTTAAAGGCTAAACTAGCCTTTAAACCGCTAGTGTCTAGTCTTGGTTCTGGAGTTAGTTAAAGCCCTTATGAGACCTCAGGTTTAATAGCAGATTTCAGTCTTAAAAATTAAATTGGCAGCATAATGTGCAAAAATGTGTTAAATTTCAGATAAATACAGTGGCCCCTCGGCATAACATGGTTCACATTTCGCTTTCTCGCAGATTCTTTTAGTGCAATTTGACAGTTTCTTTTTTTTACAGTGCATTGTGTTCTGCGTCCTGATTGGCTGTAGACCATTGTCAATCAGTCCTCTTCATGCCGTGTCTCCTGCGCAGTACAGAATATGTTTAGCCTGCCAAATTGGCATAAATCTTTGATCGCTAGCATTGTGACTGAAGTGCTGTACTGTGTTTTTGCAAGTTTTCTCCCTAACAAAGCCCATAATGTCGAAGAAACATTCTGCCCCATCAAAGGCACCTTTGTGAGCACCCAAAAGGCAGAGGAAGATGCTAACATCGCACAAAAAAGGACTTCTGGACATGCTAAAGCAGTGTTTCTCAACTATGTTCCTAGAGAACCATTAACACTGCATGTTTTGGATGTCTCCTTTGTCACACCAATTACAGGTCTTTCATTCTCTGCAAATGAACTGATGATCTGAATCAGGTGTGTTTGGTTAAGGCAGGCATTTCCAAACTTGGTCCTGGAGGGCCGGTGTCCTGCAAAGTTTTATTCCAATCCCAATCAGACACACCTGGGCCAGCTAATCAAGCTCTTACTAGGTTTTCTAGAAACATCTTTGCAGCTGTGTTGAGGCAAGTTGGAGCTAAAATCTGCAGGACACTGGCCCTCCAGGACCGATTTGGGACACCCCTGGGTTAGGGAGACATGGAAAATGTGCAAAGCTGGTGGTCCTCCATGAACGTGGTTGAGAAACTCTGTGCTAAAAGAAGATAGAAGTTACAAGAGTAAGAGACAAGTGTGAAAATGTTAATGCCTGTTTGAGAAAAAGTGTATAAAGCATGTAGTGAGGAGTTTTACAGCCTTAAAATATTTATAATAATTGTAAAAAAAAAAAAAAATGCAGACTACTTTGCGGATTTCACCTATTGCAAGCTATTTTTATAATGTAGCTCCCATAATTAAGAAGGGACCCCTGTAAATCTAAATATTTTAAAACTCTACAATGGATCAAATGGCTTGGTTTTGATAACTACAGGCATAGTCAAGCACATGTGAAGTTTTTTTTCAGAATCTGTGTTCTTATTGACTCTTTTTACATTACTGTGTTTCTAAGCAAAAGTCATCCGTTTTAATAAACTTAAAGTGCAGTGAATGGGAGAGCACCACAAATAAACTTTACAATCCAAACTGCTCTAAAAACAAACAAAATGTTGCATTGTTTTCACTCTTTCATAAGCCTGAATAGTCTGCTTAGTTTATGGCATGTCAGCAACAAAGGCTATTTAAATGGCAAAAACAATTCATTAATAAATAAACAATTAAAAATCAAAAACAAATTAATTAAATATGATTTTAATGTTAATGCATGATAAAATTCTACAGTTTTTTTCTTGTGACACTTTTGACGATCTTAATGAGTGCGGTAAAATGCGGTTACAACAAAAAAAGCTACAAAACATAGTGTGACTTCGGATGGTCAGGTTTGCAATCTACTTTTTCCTACAAGTCCTAATACGTAGTCCTGTTCTGTGCACTAGGACACCACTTTGTCTCATGTAGTGACAGCACACTCGCAGTTGTAAAGTTACAACTGCACGCAATAAGTGCACAGATGCAAATGTTTTGAAGCTACTTTTCTCCCCATGCAGTTGTAACTTTATGACTGTCAGTGTGATTGTGCATGCATTTATAAATGTCCATTTATAGTAGCAGATTGCAATAAAGAAAGACAAGTGACAAGTGTAAGATATTGCATTCCCATTCCAGTGCCCCACTATTTACTTTTGAGTGCCCCTCTGCATTTCACTTTTTTTTGGTATCCACTGTTATTCTGAATTATTATTTTAGACTGGAACTGTTTGAATTGTTATCACAACCTTGCTGCATCAATAGTTCTTATAAACTACAGAGTAGAGTAATTTTTAGAGTAGTGTTATAATTATTTGCATTTGTTGTTTTTTTGGTAGTTCCATCAACATTCAATCAACACAACATATTATGTGTTGGGGAGGGGGGGTATTTTCATTTTTTGCTGTTGTGGTTTATTGCACTTTTTAACTATTTTGCTAATTATTATACATTTGTTATAAGGATAACCTTCAAATTGGGAGAGTAAGGATTGCATTGGCCTTTGAAAATACTCAAAGGAATGACAACACAGCATGTAAAATGACTAAGACATACTCTGGCGGATTTGTTTACAGCAGGTCTTAGAGGGTTAGATTAATTTAGGGAAGACAGTAACACTTATTTTATATAGTTTCTAAATTTTAAATTAGATCAATTAAATAGTATTTATTTTGCGATCAAATTAGCAACCTTTTAGATTAATTGCAGAAAAATATTTAGCTAAAATGTCTAATGTAGTTGCAACTTCCTTGCAAAAAAAAAACAAGCGAAAAACAACCTGCTAGTAAACTAAAACGAGTAATGAGAAAAGTGTTCCCGTTGTGTTTACATTGAAATCAGCAGCAGGACATGTCTACACAAACACAGATATTTTATAAACAGTTCTCAGTTCTTCTTATTAAACAATATAATATGATATAATAAAATAAAATGTAATAAATAAACATTAAGACTCATAAACACACTATGATGCATTGCCAAGACCATGCCAAAACAATAGGTGGCGATATAACACTAAGCCTACAAAAGGATAAATCAGTGCACAATCTGATGTCAACCAAATGAGAAAACAGTGTGCACGTTGAGGTCATGAGACAAAACTCCAGTTTCATTTGGACACGACAACACTGTAGAACCATAGTTTCTGAAACTTTTCACCCTGGCTGGAGTTTCCATAACATTTTGTTTGTCACTCGATACTACATTTGCGTGAGAATGACTGGTCAAACTGCGTAGAAAAAGCAGTAGTTTAAAATATCCAAGTTTGTGTGGACAGAGCGTAAGCCTGGCAGCAGTTATTGCTTGGATTTGGAGCTTTTTTGTGCTTCCTTGTCCTATTAAAATGCATTAGATATGTATACGTATAGTTAAATTGCCACTCTGATATGTTAGTTGTGTACAGGTTTAGAATGGCTCTTCTGTCCAGTGTTGTGTTCATATTCTTGATTATTTATGTTGCACTGTGGTCCTGCAAGACACTACATTTCATTTCTCTGTATGTCCACACCTGAAGTGAAATGACAGTTAAGCTTAAATTGATTTGCATAAGAAATGTAAGAGCAATGTAAAGATACCAAAAAACTGTGCAGGTCTGGTGTTTATCTGTGAGCACAAGTCAATGACACAGAAAAAAACTTTTTTTTTGAAAACACAAAAAAATGTGTTTATTGTTGATTTATTAATTTTGTAGGAGAGTTCAGCAGGATTTTTAATTACAGATTTACATGTACTCAGCAATTAGCCAATTTCCAGCTTAAGTTATTATTATCAGAAAAATATAGTACCATTTGGGCTCTACTTAGACATTAATACAAGCTCCATGCCCTGAAATAGGTGCCAAAAGATGCAGCCTCAGGTAAAATAAACATTGCAAGCAGTTAAAAAATAATAATAATAATCACACCTAAACTTGCTCCATTCTTACCTCCTTTTGAGATGGGATGTAATTGGCATAGGCAAGAACAAAACTGCAAAACTTGTTGAAGTCCTCCACTGTCCTCTTTCTTCTCTCTGATGGCTGGACATGAACATCACATATTAGTATTTTGGACAAGCACTGCCATCTGTAGGAGGAACATCTAATTTCCTTGTTTGACTTACCAGAGTCTCTGCTTTGCACTTCAGTAATGAATCTATGCAATGAAAAAGATAAGCAAAGAATACAATTAATTCGTTGCTAAACAACTACTTTAACCAAAAACACACCTGGAGACAGTTCGTGCAGCTTTTGTTGTACAAACCTAGTAAATGCGAGTTTCGGCGGCAAGCTAATTCGCTAACGTAACTTTGCTGTTCCTCGCGACACCCTGTTGATTGAGGCGTAAAATTCTAGAGCGCAGGACACCATTTTACATCCCAACAACCACACGGTTTGAGAGACTTTAGTTGTGGGGAAAACTAAACAAATTTAGAAGCAAAAACACTAAGCTAAAGCTGTGGTGAATGCGAGAGGACGCAGCAGCATGTGACTTAAGCCCTATTCACGGCGTCGAAGCACCACAAGACAACTTGGCTGGATTAGGAAGTCTTCTAAAGCAGATATAGCCGATTTAATATTTTAAAAACGACTAAATCAATGCAATTAACATTAGCGACACCGACGACAAGACATTAACCGCGGCAAAACAAAAGAGTTACAGTCAGGCGGCGAAATGCTACTATGCTAAGCAGCGACCTGTATTTGAAGACAGCATTATGTCTTTAATGGCATTGTAAATGTCATTGGAACATTCTAATCGTGTATTAATACGACTAATAAACTGGCACTCGATTAAAACGATCATTAGTGCAACTAACTGAAAATAGAGCTGGTTTACTTAGCAAAGAGAAAATGCGCAACGCTGCGTAACTGCGGTTTTGTAAACGTGCCCATTAAATCATTTGAACAGAAAGCAGAGGTTGGATATCAGGGGGGATTTTCTTTATCATTTATGAGTTACAGCTTAACGAAAGGTTAAAAACAACTTGGGTAATTTATCTCCATTGGACAAGATAGCAACTCGGCTAATCCTTTTACGAAGCAGCTCGTCAGTGCAGAAAAACCTTCATCACCACTAACAAACATCACAAAGCGATTGAAATTGAATTGGGTTTATCAGAAAAATCAGCCTGCTAAAGTAAGAAGTATGCAAAGTTACTGCAGCGTAAAGCTTCTAACGTTAAGTTAACAGGCTAGCTGACTCTGCTAAAACTGGACGTGATGGGTGTTGCCTACCTTAACAGTATTAAAGTTTGAATATTTAAAAATCTATGAGTTGCCTTACCTTGGTGCTCGGACATTATTTCAAGCATTGTCGCCTTAAACTCGATCCTCTTCAGTTGGATGACACCGAGCAGCGTCAATCTCTTCGCCCGGCTTGGGCGCAGCAAGCCCCGGCTGTCCAGCTACAGTCTAGTTAGCTGGGCATCGGAGTCACTTAAACGACGATTTTACAAAGAGATCCGATGGAATATCGCTGGATCTCGAGTCCCTGGAAAGATCAATTAACTTAATTTTGGCCAGCAAGCAGTGTTGCAAAATAATCCAGCTGGCAGTTCAATTACCTAACGGACCACCAAGCAAAAAAGAACCAACGATAAAACCAGGGATCCAACATGATTTTGCAGCGAATGATGGTAATGTAGACTCTATGTTGGCGTTGTTATCCTTTTTCGACGAAAGTGGTGAAAACACAAAGTAATTACGTCTGCGTGTCGCCTCCGGCGCGCCTCACTAAAGTCGACGATGTCAACTGACTCCAGAAACCCCTTGCGGTGAAATTGCCGCTGCGATGTAAAAATTTGCTTTCCAATAGTCAATGGGACATGTAGTTCAAACAATGACTTCAACTGCTGAATACATCGACAAGCAAACTTCAATAACCATGATTCATTGCGCCAGTCGTAGGTCTGTTGTGCTCACGGGAAGTTGAGTTTATCTGTTCCTACTCGTAAGGTTTTTATTTTCTCCTTGCGTACCCCATATGTTTAAATTAATTTAAATCCATTTATAAATACCAAAATCATTATATGCATATCCTCGAACATTTTAGTCAGTGGACCGGGCTACCCCAGACTGGTCATTTCGGTTGCCAATGACGTTTAACGTGTTTTATCATTAAACCCAAGTCAAATAGAATAAAAAAAGACGAGTAGCGGTACTACCTGATAATACTCGAAAGTGGGCGCTAGAAGGCTCACAAAATCCACCATATTTAGAATATAAGTAGTTAAAATGTAAAGAATATAATATATTAGACAAACCGAACACATAAATATCTTATTATTAATTTAATCTAATGAAAATGTCTGGCACTGTGCCAAAACTAGACTTAAACAAAAGCTTTTTGAGTCGTCAGCCTCAAATGAAAAACACAACTTGTTTAGATTCGTGGCTTTGATTTTTCTGAAAATAGTATTTTGATTATTTTTCAAACGCAAAAAAAATATATAAATCCAAATACATTACTGAACTAAAACATAGGCTTCATTTCCTATTTTTGGACTAATAAATAGTTATACAGTTACATTAGTACTGCGTGATATTTAAAAATCTTAAATATTTTTTTATTCTGCGATAATCATTGCGATATGAATACAATTTCACGAAGTTGAGTGGAGTAACTATTTGAAAAGATTTTATCATTTTAGATTGATTAGGATGATGTAGGGGAGTGCATTAAATATAATATATAATAAACAATCCACAAGCATAAATTCAATAAAGAAAAATATAAAAATTAAACATATCTTATTTATTTATTTTATTAACCATTTTATTGTTTTCTGAGAAGTCGAACTGTATTCAGGTATACAGTAATTGAATTATCAAATGTAAAAAAAATACTACATAGTCTTCTTTTTTATATACTCAACATAGCATATAATTGAAATGTAGCTATTGGGAATTATTCTATTGCGATATGGATGCTCAGGCCCGTAGCCAGAGGTGGCTGATAAAGTCCAGAATTTGGCCCCTTCCTGAGCTCAAATGTCTCATTTTTGACTACTTTGCCATTAAAAATTGTGAAAATAACCAATAGAAAAAGGCTTTAAAACAAATTTAATGTTTAATTATTCAAAGTTTCTTAATTGTTTTTTTCTTTTGATTGATGATAAATTGATTATAATAAATGTTCATATTTCTTCATAAAAAATTGTATGCTAATCTCAACATTATTTATAAAACTGTAATTATATATAATAACTTAAATGCACATTTGTAAATATTCACTACAAAGTCAAATAGTATTGTAAGCACTTTGACAAAATCGTAGGAAATATTTTGGTACATCAAAATCTGCGGTCACAATCCAACAAGCTAATCCAGCAATGCTTAGTTCTTAAAATATCACTAAAATGCAGCATTTTAACCTCATTGTTTAATAGAAAAAGAGGCATAGAACTGCAAAAAAGTCTACTTTTGACAGAAAAAACTACCCCTTTCAATAGTTTGTCTACAGGTGCTGAAACGATATAGGCCTATTGTGCAGCCCTAGGTTACATAATACGTTCCACTGTTTCTGGGCCATCGAGCGCCCCCTGCAGGACAAGAACACGAACACAACAGAAAATACTAAACACGCTCCATTAACTTTATTTCACTGACCAAACCCCTAACAACGAAATCAGCTCCTGCTTCAACGGCGGTTTCCACCTTCAATACATCATCATCATTATACAGTACAGTACAGTACTGCCTCGACAAGGCTCCTGACCACACAGGCATTTATCAGCTCCTCATTTTTTTTTCTAAAAAGAAGAAATGTCCGAGAAGGACCCAAAATCATCTCAGGACCTTACTGTTGTGGTGAGTATTTGCTTTTCACTGATAGACCTACTAGGTCGTGCACTTACAGTCGACCAGTATTCAGTCACGCTCACTTTATTTGTCAATACAACGGTAACGAAAGTGTGTAGTGCTGTGATTAGCACGTTATTACCTATTATTATTATTCATTAATCGGTCTTAACTTGATATCGAAACATCGCTCCTGCGAGTTCCCACAACAAACGTTTTATTTTCTTTATAGATCTATAGTTAAATTAAATTAGAGTGTAGATTAATTGATTGTGGGTACAATAATAAAGCGAAGGTTTCTTCTTTATTTCATTGTAAGGTGTCTTGTGTCATTTCACGAGGTTTCCCTTGTTACTATGGTTTCGGTTCCTCGCGTGGGCGGAGTGCATGCCCTTAAACTGCTGTTTTTACTCGTATGTGGGCAGCCCACGCAAACACCCACACGACTCTAGATATGCCAGCTGAACGCAGTGTCCATTCACAATTTTTCTTGTATAAATGTGCAGTTTTTGTCTGATTGCTGACTTTACTAGATTTCATCTGAATATTTTTCCTTCTCTTCAATTCAGGTGCAAACCTTGCTGCAGCAGATGCAGGACAAGTTTCAGACCATGTCAGATCAGATAATTGGGAGAAATATCCTTCTGCATGAGCGTTTTATTATTGTTTTATTTGCCTTTTAAAAAACAACAATTTAGGCCAAACCCAATTCCAAAGTGGGTGTCATAGGTCGCTCCCCCACAGTCCAAAGACATGTGGTATAGGTGAATTGAATAAGCTAAATTGTTCGTAGTGTATGTGTGTGTGAATAAGTGTGTATGGATGTTTCCCAGTGATAGTTGCAGCTGGAAGTTACAGACTAAGCTGAAAAGAAAGTTAATGAATTAATCAATTCCGATGTAATCTTTCACAAACTGGCAGAGAAATGCCAGATATACAATGAATCAAATATAAAGCCAAACAAATAAACAAAAACAAGACAAACAAAAAAATGTATGAAATAACTTGCATACTGTGCAGACATCAAACAGAAACGTAAGGGGTTAAATAAAATCAATTCTTGAAACATTCATTTATTCATTTTCTTTTTGGCTTAGTGCCTTCATTAAGCAGGGGTCGCCACCGTGGAATGAACCGCCAACTTATTCAACATATGTTTTTTATTCAGTGGATGCTCTTCCAGCCAAACACTCTTGCATTTACACTCATACACTACGGCCAATTTACCTTATTCAAATGACCTGTAGCGCATGTTTTTAGACTTGTGGGGGAAACCGGAGCACCCGGTGGAAACCAACACGAACATGGCGAGAACATGCAAACTCCGCACAGTAATGCCATCTGACCCAGCTGAGGCTTGAACCAGCGACCTTCTTGCTGTGAGGCAATCATGCTACCCCATTACACCACTGTGTCGCCTTTCTTGAAACAAACCATACAATTTTTTAGCCTTCTCACCCTTCATTAATTTTAAAGCCTCTATACAGGTGGCACACTCCTTTTTAAAGACAATCACACAAGGAGCTGTTTTCAAAATATTTAAGAAATTAAGTAAAATAAGTAAACAATTTGCTATTCATTCATTTTTGTTGTTTAATTGTACTTCAACTTTCTGTGTCACAACAAGGAAAAGGAAACATTGAAATATATTGCTTTATCCAGTTGCCCACATCACACCAGAAATGATTAACCAAATTACAACGAAGAAAATAATGTTCACCTTCTGCATAGGCATGATTATAATTGCTCAGAAATTAAGACCAGCTGTGGACTAATTAAAGGGGTAGTTCACTCTAAAATGAAAATTTTCTCACTGTTTATTCACCCTCAAGATCTTGAAGAAAGCTGAAAATGGTTGGCTACCCTAGTATCATGGAAGTTAACGGTTACAGGTTTTCAGCTTTCTTCAAATGATCTTATTTTGTGTTTAACAGAAGAAAATAAATTGTAAAGGGTGAGTAAGGTCCAATCCCAATTCTACCCCTTAGCCCTACCCCTTGTTTTGCGCGTTCACTTGAATGGGTTGGGGTGTCCCAGTTCTCTTCAGCTTGAAGGCGTAGGGCTAAAGGAAAGGGCTAAATAGCCCCTGAAACTGCAATTTTTCAGGACCACACTCGAAACCAAGGGATAACAAAATTTCTCAGAATACACCAGCTATAACGACAGCACACAGAAGGAGATACACAAATTAGTATTATTACAAATTTTTACAACAAACAAGCACGTTTTAATATATTCATAATTGCATTGGTGTTTCACTGTCATGCTTAAAAAAACAGCTACATTTCGCTATCTGTAATCTATAATAATAACTCTTGTATAACGTTACTCATCCCACAACATGCTTCACATCTGTCACTCGATAACACTCCAATACCCTGTCAGAAAAGTCTAGTGGCCTGAAATGAGCTTTTTACAGTGTCTGGTATAATGTTAATGCTGTTTTTGTGTGTTTACATGGATGTATATGGCTACGATGTAAATGCACAGTATAGTTACAATCTTATTGCCACATTATATCGTTATGATAACATGATATTATCATAGTGATTATTTGAAGATAAATACAAAAAATAATGCAACTGCAATAACTACAGCAGTTGTTCTTGTCAATCTCATATGAAGATTGCGATGACATTTAATGACTTGTGTGGGTGTTGCAGTGCTGTCCTATTTCTTAGTGGTAAAATTTGAAGCCCTTCACCTTCACACTCTGTTTCAAGGGCCATGGGGTAGGGGCAGAAAAAAAGAATTGGGATTGGGCCTAAATGATGTCAGAATTATCATTTTTGGCTGAACTATTACTTAAATAAAACAAATCATTGAAACGACTAATGATTGTACTTTTCTTAATTGTAATACTTGATGAGATGAGTACGCGAATCGATGACCTGGAGAAGAACATCTCTGATCTCATGACTCAGGCAGGTGTGGAGGAGTTGGAGGAGGAGATAAAAAACAGTGAAACCTCTGGAACAGCTTGAAGGCAAATGAGATCAACACCATCCTAGTAAGTGTAGGTGGTGCTGTTGCCATTCCGATGATGCCATTCTTTCAGGATCCTTACTAAATGGGGAACACATGCATTCTATGCATTGCAGTAGAATATGTATTTGATTTGACATTTGCTTGTGACACAGTTTGAAAAGGTATTTTCATATTTGTACTGTTGTTTAAACTATGTTACAGAGAGATGTAAAATCATGTTATTAATGAATATTAGAGTATTCTTTATAATTGGTTTACATGTGGACAGCATTTACTTTATTTAATAGGGACCTATTATGCCCCTTTATACAAGCTGTAAAATGCTTCTCTGATATTCTTCTAGTCAGTGGATATGTAATATTTCAGCTCAATATCACACAAATAATGTTTTATAACTATTTTAAACAGCCTCATTTTAGGCTTTGATCCCAAGGGCGTGCTCACACTAGGTACAGTTGCCTTGAACCGTGCCCAAGCACAATTGCCCCCCCCCCCTCCACTCCCCCGATGGCCTGCACTCACATTGCATCTTTACCTTCTGAACCTGAGCACATCACACCTGAGACCATCATGCAACTGTTGAGTTTAACAGGAAGAGAAGCGCTCTCGCTCAGCACAGTGGAGATTGCTTTAGTTTTATCGTTTTAGTCGTTTGGGATGCAGTGACACGCAGTTCAATATTTTGCTGAACTGATCCCCCAAATTTTGATGCTCATAAATTATCATAAAAGTCCTCGTGCTGCATGTATTAGGAGGTTGCACAAGGTGCAGCTGAGGTGCAGTGAGGGGTTTGCGTCTTTAATACTATGAGAGTTTACGTTCATAAAAAGTAAGAATGATTAATATATCCATATGAAACATCCCCTTAAAAATGACGTCACGTCTTCAGGTTCGTGCTCAGGTGCCCTTTGCACTTACACTACAAGCGTATCGCGCCAAAGCCCAACCGAAACATGCTCTGGCACACCTCTTCCAACTGGACCAGGGCCGGCCAACTGAACCATGCTTGAGACCAATTCGGAGCATTTAAACTTGTCAAACGAACCGGGAAATGCAACTGGGCATGGTTCGGATAGCATAGTGTGAGTGCACTCTAAATGTGCCGTTTTCGTGACTGTCGCTTTAATTTCAAATGAGATTGTGCTTCCAGCCCTCCTTTTAAAAGAGGTCGGCGCTACAAATCCCTGTCTGTCAGCACAGGGGCAATTTCATAAACAAGACTAAGGCCCTATGCTAATAAGAGAGAGATCATCACTAGTGGGCGGGGCTTTCCCCCTCTGATCACATGTACAACGGATGAATGTCAATCAAAGTGTTTCTGCTTACCATTGGAAGCTGGTTATATTCACAGACTGTCTCCACACAACTGTGTCCAAACCTTGAAATAATAGGTTCCCTTTAAAACATTTCAAACCCCCCTAACATGCATCTCTCAGAAATCCTGTATAATTGACATAATTATTTAGAGTTGTTTCTTCATGTCTTGTCTTTACGTTTGGTTTAATGTTTAGTCTCATTTCTGTTTTAGACTGCCAAGGAACACAATGAGGACCTTCAACTGCAGTATCTGAATTTTTAAATGAAATGTGAATTAGTAATTTTTTAAATAACGACTTGGTGCTTGCTAATGTGAATTATATATTATACTACACACTGTAAGGTTAATAACTATATTACTAGAAGACTATACAAATATGACACTTGCTTTTGTATTCATTTATTGTAATGACTGGGGGAAATCATGTGGTTCCTGCATGTTTTACTGATTATTAAAAACCCATGAAATCCTTTGACTGTTCTCAACGTTTTTTCTGTCTTTCATTTTAAGGAAGTGGAGAATGTGTATTTAAGCCTCCTCTTATATGACCAACAGCTGATAAGTTACTTTAATAAGTGTTACATTTTAAATATACTTTTCCACTCTATATTTTTTCCATACAATTTGCATTTTACAGACAAATTACTCAATGAGAGAACGTGTTGCTGTTTTTAAATGGCATTTGGTGGAACGTTTATGCAACCAGATGGTGTGGTAATGACAAAAACCAGCAGGAAATATCTGGGCCATGCTAATTCAGCATAACCTTAACCTTTTTGAATGGCACTAAAAGAATGTACAATGTCCAAAACTGTTCATTAGGGATTAGATGTCGAAGATTGCAGATTTTCTGAAATACCGTAGGATCAACGTAAAAGAAATATTTAGTTATAACACGATTTTAAAATTAACAGCAAATAATCAAAAATCAAAAGTATCTGAAAAATGTTTTGATTAAAAAAGCTTATTTCATTCATTGTTTATAAAAACAGTTTAGATTTATTTTTTACAATGGCATATTGTAACCTCAGAGCATCATATATGTACGTTATCGTTCAATGACATCATAGTTCCAGGAAAGCTGTTCTGTTACTGTACACACACACACACACTCAGTAATTCCCCAAAACAATTAAGAGTCTTTTATCTGTTAAAGACATTTTCAACAGTTACTGGTTTTCAGCTTTTTTCAGAATTTTTTTTTTTTTTTGTTCAATGGAATAAAGAAATAAATGTTTATAACCAGTTAAGGTTGAGTAGATTTTTATAGAGTGAACTATCCCTTTAATATTTCAAATTCTTCCCTGCATCACTACAGCAAAAACAGAAAAATTCTGGATCTGGCAACGTGATTAAAATTATGCTTGCTGACATCAATGTCTTGCCTTTTATTTATGCAGATTTGGTTTATAATATGCCTGCCTTCATCATATTCAAGTAAATTTTAGAAACAGCTAAAGTAAATATCTAATCCTAAAACCAACAGTCAGCCTAGCCGCATAGTTTAGCTGTAGCTGTTAGCCTGTATGATCACAAAATCAAGTTAGCTTGGGGTTATTAGCTCACAGACTCGCTGAGCTACGTGTTGCTGGCATATGTTGATGAATTTCGTATATCATCATGAGATATTATCTCATGCAGAAGGTTATGCTGTGAGTTACAAGTTGTAAACTTAGTTTGGAGTGTGAGGTCACACTGTGAGACTGATGAAAATTCAACTTCGCCACAGGAATACTTCACATTTAAACTTGACATTAAAAAGCTATGAAAATAGAAAACTATTGTATGTTGTGTAGGCTACTGCAGTTTTGATACTAGGCCTACATTTTGATAATAAACATATGGAACAGCAACTGGTGTATTATATATATTTCCCATTCAAACTGTAAAGTAATTGCTACTATACAGGTTTGAGTGTCACATTTAGGTTGAGGTTCTATGCTTTTCATCAAATGTGAGTCTGGATTTGGCTTCATAATGTTAAGCAAAAAAGACAAGTTTGAGATAACTCTAAATATCTAACCTTCATGAAGGGATTTTTGGGAAACATTTTAGGGACATTTGCATTTTTTCCCCTAAAATACTTAAGGGATTTTTGAGAGAAATGTTTGTAAGTTAATTTTTTTTAAAAATATGGCTGGGTGACAATTTTACTTGCTTCATTTTGTAAACACCAGTTCTAATAAAGTACAATTGGATTGCATTAATGCGTAAGAGAGAACATTAGTTTTATTCATAGTCAAAATCAGTGGAATGCATAAACTATTAAATGCTCTTACAATCACATAAAAAAACTATTTTAACATGGTTTCTGGTAGCATTTCTTTTTTAAAATGAAATAAAAAAGAAACTTATTTTTAGTTATTTCGATGTTTGACAAAATGTGATATAGGCTATATATTTATAGTATAACGTTAAGTAGCTAGAGGTAATTTATGTCCATTTGTTTAATGAGGAGAACATTTAAAAATATCCTACAAGGTAGATCATGTATAAAAAAACGATCGTAAAATGTCCACTTGGTGGAGCTGTTTTGTTATTAAACAATATATTACAGCCATTTTAGTATACATACAGGACATACATTACATTGCAATACTATATGTTAATTTTACTAAATTTATTTTTGGCCGAAAAAGAACGTGGAAAATCAGATCCATTTGCTGTCTTGTGTCTTGCTGATCTTGTTTCACAGTGTCATGTTGAAGTGTTTCACCGCACATGAGATCTAAAGTACACTGTCAAAAAACAGTGAAGAGAAATATATATATATATATATATATATATATATATATATATATATATATATATATATATATATATATAATTTTTTATTTTTTTATGTAAGTTTATGATTACTAAAATTGTCTGTTTAATAGCTGCTTTAAAATGTAAATAATTTAAATTTCAACTTTGTGGATGATATTTTTTTTTTGAGTAATTTTCATTTACTTTTCACATAAAATTAAACAAGCGTTTCAGAGTTAAGTGTTAAGGTTATAGAGTTATATTTTTAAAAATGAATAAAATCAGAGTTTGAAGGTGATTTTTTCCAATGTAAAATGTCATGAAGTTACAGCTAATCAACTTGATGGTGTTTTTCCATTATCCGGGAAAACATTTGACCAAAAATTTAAATGGAACATAAAAGTAATGCTATTTTTTAAGATCTTTTAAAGTGTTTGAAATTGTTAATTTGTAAAAAGTGTACATTTTCTAGTGCTGGCTGTCAAGTGTTAACATGTTGTGTTGATAAAAATGTTTAATAATATATTTGTATATGTAAAGTTTTTCTATACTTTTTGAAAGATTCGTAACCTTTGAATTATAAGGTTCTATCTGCTTTCTAAAAAAGTTTGAGATATTGAGCTTCAAAGTTTTTGCATTCCATGTAGCAAACAATATGTGTAACAGTTCTCTTTCAAACATAAACATGACAGAGACCCTAAATGTACATTATCAAAATTCTCTTACATTTGCAAGTTGGGGTAAAACAAATGGCAAATGCAGATAGAGCTTTCTAATTCTAAAAAGTAATTTTTCTGTATGGAATTATAAGGTTCTATCTGGCAGATTATTCATTGAAGTGTTACTTTTCAAGAAATACAATCGGTGTGCTCATTAATTTAATTTAAAAAACAAAAACAAAAAACTGGTGTTGTGACAATATGTTGATGTTTGAGAAAGTTAAATGTTTGCTTTCTATTATATTTATTTAATGTTATTTACGTATTATTTAATGTTTTAGGATGAATATTTTTTCATGTTCAAATAAAACATACAAGGCTGTGCTAATTATTTTGTGCATTGCAGATGTTAATGTTATGTAATTAATATGTTAATATTTATTAAATTATATAAATTAATTAAATTAAGCATTTGGCTTTCAGGGCTTAATATCAAATTTAAAGACTTTAAAAGGAAACTGGCAATGAGCAAATGAGTTGTTTAACAAAGTTTAATAAACACTTAAATATGTTTCACTGACTATATATACACAAATAAAAATATATATTACATTTAATATGCTTTTTATATATATATATATATATATATATATAACTGTTTCTTTTCCAACAATGTAAAATTTAACATCTCATCTCAATGTCAAAAAATGCTTCTAAATCATCCCATTTACACACATCAATTTTGGGAAGAAACAATTTTGTGTTTCTTTCTGGTCTTTCATGCTGTCAATGGAGCAATCTGGCGGAATGACAAAGAAAGCTGATCCTGATTGGTCCTCATGCATGCATTCGAAATGCTGATTGGCTCACAGAAAGAACCTTATAGAGCCAAGCTGGAGTTTGACTTTGCAGACAAAACCTTTTTGTTTTTTTTTTAAATAAAAAGTCTTAAAATGTAAATAACTTATAAATGAAAACAAAATGAATAACTCAATTTTGACAAAAACGGCAGATAGAACCTTATAATTCTAAGATGACGAATTGCCTCGTGTAAGTTATTTTAACTAACAATCATGAGAATTGTAATTTTTGCTAGGTTATACATTAAATATTAAATAAATGAATAAAATATAAAAAACAAAAACAAAAATTCTGTGAAATAAAATAGAGAAATTATCATGAATAAAATATGTAATTGGTTGATTTAAAAATGAATAAATAAATTCTCTCTGTAAAAGTGTTTCATTCAATTTTCATTCTTTACACTAGAGTCAGGGAACAATCAACTCCCAGTAGTGTAGACCAGAGTTATTTTTTAACTCGATACAGTGTAAATGTAACTCATGTATAGTGTTGTACAAGTAACTCTCTTAAGTGTGTTCTTTTAACTGGGACAATATGTTCACTCATTCTGAGTTGATTTTAACTCTGTTAGAGTTGAAATAACACTGCTATTTTTGTAGTGTATGTATGTGTGTGTTAAGTTTCCAGTGAATGATAAATGCAAATAGAGCACTGACAAATCATGTAAGATAACATATGACAAATTCTTATCACATTGTAGATTTTGAGCTAGATTTCCCATCAGTGACCGAAGATAAGAGTTACTCATTGTCAATATGTGTATGTGCCCCTCTGTGATTGTATATTTGCATCTGGTCAACAATAGGTACTTTTTGTTTTAACAAGAGTTGGTAATAACATTCCCCTCTTTGTCTCTAAGCTCAAAGTCTCAACACACTTGAAAGAGGTAATTTTATATCTCAGCTGGAGGTGCACTTTCCCTCAGGACTGTAACATGAAGTGGACAATTTTCTCTGTCTTGCTCTCTGTCTGAGCACAGTTTTGCTTTTTCTTGTGTACGTTTATCACACCAACCCTTAAGATGAAACTCTTTAACCTTGTACAGTTTTTACACAGGCTGTTTAAATATCATACAATATTACACATCCCTCAGACTCAAAAGCGATCTTATTTTAGTCTTTGCATTTGCTGTTTAACATCTGGCAGCTTGGGTGTTGCTATGGAAAAAAGACATTGCACCATACATTAAAGCTGGAGATT